GAAGAAGTCTTGAAATTCAGGAAAATGGAGACCCAGAAGCAGGGACAGAGGCCAAGGGAATTCACAAGATGGTGTAGGGTGCTCGCAGGAACACAGTCACGCCTGAGGCTTAGACAGCAAGCCGGGCAGTTTAGAGCAGGTGAGGTGTCCCCCCAAGAGGGGGGGAGATCAGAGAGGGGGAGCACCAACAAGCATTTACAGGGGACGTTTGGTTTCCTTGGAATATTTGAGAATGACTTAGTGACAGCTATGTAAACGGAGGGTAAGAAAGAGAGGCATTCTTAATATCCAAAGAAAATGAAAATTTTACTCTAAGGAGGAGTGTAATTATGGTTAGCTGTGTGCTTCAGCTGTGATGAATGTTTCCATAATCATCATAATGTAGGTACAGCTGAGAGGAGGAGATATTACCGTCAAAGAGGATGAGGAGTCATAGAGAAATGTGTGTGTGGGGATGGGAGGCTTGTGGGTGAAGAGTTCTAAATCCTCTTCTTCCACTGTAGAGAGCAGAAAGTAAGTACATCTTGAAAAACTAAACTAAATCTTGAAAAATCTTTAAATATGAGGTACATGGAAGAAACAGTGAAGAGTTGAAACTGTCTGCTATTTAGAAGCTGAAATCAGGAGTGAGAAGGGATCAGAGAGGGGTTATATTAGTCTAATTGTGATCTTTGATTTTAAAGATATTTATATTTTTTTTGATAAGTATAAATTTTTAATTTTAAAAAGATAGGCTACAGATTTCTTCTAATTTTTAAACTAGGTCTTGGTTCCATTTTTTTCTGCTTTTGTTTTATGTAAGATTGTAAATACTCTTCATACATCAAAAAAAAAACAAAAATAGAGGACGACCTCTTGGATATTTGCCCTTATTTTAACAAATATAAGATGACCACAAGTGTGCTTATAACAATGAAAAACAAAGTGTGAAGACATGGATCTTGCCCCTTGAAATTCAGGAACTTGGAGCTTAGATTAGACATGTACATAAATCTTATTAGACTTACCTCATATTGCTGACTGGATTTAAAGCCTTCAGAAACTTCTCTTGACTTCTTTTGACTTAAAAAATCTGACTTTTAAGGCTTTTATAAAATCTTAACCCTAAATCTACCACAAAGAGATACCACTTCACCAGTCACTAAGATGGCTATAATCAGTAGTAGCAAGTGTTAGCGAGGATCTGGAAATTGGAACCCACATACATTGCTGATGGGAATATAAAATAGCTCAGCTGCTTTGAATGATAGTCTTGCATTTCCTCAGAAGGTTAAGCAGAGTTATCAGCAAGTCTATTCCTTAGTATATCCCCAAGAAAAACAGATGTCCACACAAAACTTATATATGAATGTCTATAGTAGCATTAGATGTAATAGCCAAAAAGTCAAAACAACCCAGGTGTCCATCAACTAATGTATAGAAAAAATAAAATGTGGTATATCTGTATAACAAAATGTTATTTGGCAATAAAAGGGAATGACATTTTTACTTGCTACAAAACTGATGAACCTTGGAAACTATGCTAAGTGAAATAATCCACTCACAGAAGACCACACATTGATTTCATTTGCATGAAATTTCAGAATAGGCAAATCCATAGAGACAGAAAGTGGATTAGTGATCTAGAAGGAAGGGGAAATTGGGAGTGACTGCTAATGTAAAGGGTTTTGTTTTGTGGGTGATGATTGTGCATTTCTGTTAATATACTAAAAACATTGAGTTGTGCACTTTAGTGAATCGTATGGCTGGAAAAGGTTTCTCTGTAGCATTTTTTTTTTTTTTTTTTTACTGTATTCAATAAAGCCATTATTTTTTAAAAAATCCCACTCTAACCTACTTTTCCAGTGTTGTTACCCATTCTTCCACTTGGGCTCAACCAATTTTGCTTATGTTCTTTTAACCTATAGTATATCTCTTTCTCCATTTCTTCAAGACCAAATACTGCTCATTCTTCCAAATTCAGCTGAACTTCCTCTTTCATAAAAAAAGAAAAAAAGTAAAACTCTTCTTAGCAGAAAGTAAACTCTGCTCTCAACTTTTGTTTCTCTCAGCAAATCACTTTACACATTGCAATACCAAGAAGTGTATGTTTTGGTGAAAGGTAGTCAACATTTCTCAGCAACATAAAGTAAAACATTACCTTAGACAAACCTTTAAATTGCCTGAATCGTACAATTCTCTCTTTACATTCAACTCATCAGTTTTTTCACCTCTAAGACTGGAATAGATCCCTGTTCTGTTGAATGTTAGTTGAAGAAATTGACTTTTGTTTTTAAGTGTTACACAAAATAGAAAAGAACAATTAAGCCCAACAAGTAATACAGATGTGGATGTATGGGGATTGCTTCCAATCTTCTTCCCACTCCAGTTTTCAACAGAAACAGGCTGAAGCTCTTAACTTGTTGTAGGTGAGGGAAAGGTAGTAATGAGATGGATAGGTGATGGGATGTTGGTTTATGGACTGACTTGTCATTCTGGATGGTTTTAATTCAGTGTACTTTGTGTGTATAGTAATGAGCCTGTTTCTAAAGCAGTCATCTAACGCAGTAAATGTTTCCCCCCTTTACCACACTAACGGAAGGAACTGCTTTTCATAAACTTCAGAATAACTGAACACTGCATTTGAAACAGTTGAATATTTGGACTCCAGTTACTGCATTTTTGGGGAGTGGTTTACTCCACTGTAATGAGATTCTTATTCCACCCAGTTAAGTGATCACATTAGGGGCAGACTGAAGCCAGGACTTACTAAGAGACAGGCAGAATTATGTCTTTCCACCTTTAAACTGTCAGATGTGCGCTTAATAAATAAGAATGGTAGGCCACATCATTGGATCTTTTGTAATATTTTGTTCTCATTCTCTACTCCTTCCCCACCAAATAGAGTTGATTTTCTTAAATGAAATGTGCCATAAGGGACTAGTTGAATAAATGATGCTTCCTTGGGAGAATGAAATACTAGTAAAACTGTTAACGGGAAGATACACAGCAAAACCGTGTTTATGACATGGTACATTTGAGTTTTGTTTTGAAGGGTTTATACATACATGTGTGCATATAAGCAGATGTGCATATATCATTCTAAACAAAATTGTGTGGTTTTGTGTGTATAAAATATTTCTGGAAGGCTATGTACTAAGTTGGTAATAGTCATTTCTGGGTAAAGGAACCAAAGTTGATAATAAGGGTGAGAGGAGGATTTAGCATTCATTGCAAATACTCTTTTGTATTGTTTGACTTTCAGTATGTGTATATGTTACTTTTCCAACTAAAAACCACTTATATCTTCTTGCCAATTAATTGTTAATGATTCATGGCAAATATTTATGTGTCAATTTGAGATGCTTATTTGAAATGAACAAAATACTCTAACCTACTTTTCCAGTGTTGTTACCCATTCTTCCACTTGGGCTCAACCAATTTTGCTTATGTTCTTTTAACCTATAGTATATCTCTTTCTCCATTTCTTCAAGACCAAATACTGCTCATTCTTCCAAATTCAGCTGAACTTCCTCTTTCATAAAAAAAGAAAAAAAGTAAAACTCTTCTTAGCAGAAAGTAAACTCTGCTCTCAACTTTTGTTTCTCTCAGCAAATCACTTTACACATTGCAATACCAAGAAGTGTATGTTTTGGTGAAAGGTAGTCAACATTTCTCAGCAACATAAAGTAAAAAATTACCTTAGACAAACCTTTAAATTGCCTGAATCGTACAATTCTCTCTTTACATTCAACTCATCAGTTTTTTCACCTCTAAGACTGGAATAGATCCCTATTCTGTTGAATGTTAGTTGAAGAAATTGACTTTTGTTTTTAAGTGTTACACAAAATAGAAAAGAACAATTAAGCCCAACAAGTAACACAGATGTGGATGTATGGGGATTGCTTCCAATCTTCTTCCCACTCCAGTTTTCAACAGAAACAGGCTGAAGCTCTTAACTTGTTGTAGGTGAGGGAAAGGTAGTAATGAGATGGATAGGTGATGGGATGTTGGTTTATGGACTGACTTGTCATTCTGGATGGTTTTAATTCAGTGTACTTTGTGTGTATAGTAATGAGCCTGTTTCTAAAGCAGTCATCTAACGCAGTAAATGTTTCCCCCCTTTACCACACTAACGGAAGAAACTGCTTTTCATAAACTTCAGAATAACTGAACACTGCATTTGAAACAGTTGAATATTTGGACTCCAGTTACTGCATTTTTGGGGAGTGGTTTACTCCACTGTAATGAGATTCTTATTCCACCCAGTTAAGTGATCACATTAGGGGCAGACTGAAGCCAGGACTTACTAAGAGACAGGCAGAATTATGTCTTTCCACCTTTAAACTGTCAGATGTGCGCTTAATAAATAAGAATGGTAGGCCACATCATTGGATCTTTTGTAATATTTTGTTCTCATTCTCTACTCCTTCCCCACCAAATAGAGTTGATTTTCTTAAATGAAATGTGCCATAAGGGACTAGTTGAATAAATGATGCTTCCTTGGGAGAATGAAATACTAGTAAAACTGTTAACGGGAAGATACACAGCAAAACCGTGTTTATGACATGGTACATTTGAGTTTTGTTTTGAAGGGTTTATACATACATGTGTGCATATAAGCAGATGTGCATATATCATTCTAAACAAAATTGTGTGGTTTTGTGTGTATAAAATATTTCTGGAAGGCTATGTACTAAGTTGGTAATAGTCATTTCTGGGAAAAGGAACCAAAGTTGATAATAAGGGTGAGAGGAGGATTTAGCATTCATTGCAAATACTCTTTTGTATTGTTTGACTTTCAGTATGTGTATATGTTACTTTTCCAACTAAAAACCACTTATATCTTCTTGCCAATTAATTGTTAATGATTCATGGCAAATATTTATGTGTCAATTTGAGATGCTTATTTGAAATGAACAAAATACGTACATATGTATGGTGTTAATACATGCTATTTGTTTGATTTCCCAGCAGCTGAGATCTGTTCCACCAATGATATATATATTTGTGTTTTACAGAGTTACATCCATTTGGGAGAATAGTCTTCAGATCACTACAATTTCTAGTTTTGTAGGAATATGGCTTGGTGCCTTTCCTATTCCACTGGATTGGGGAAGACCGTGGCAGGTTGGTTTCAACTCCTTAAAGCAGCAAAGTAAATGTTTGTACAGTGAGGGTAAAACTGATGATGCCAACGAGTGTATATATAAATTGCTTCATTGTTTAGTTAAGTAGGGACGTCGGTTCCCTCTGTCACTGTCATCTGGGTGACTTATTGGGGCCCCAGTGCTACAGGTATGCAGATTAGCCTGTTTCTGTCTTCCAGCACTATTTTAGCATATAGCAAAGTTGATTTTGAAATAAGTGTTTGTGAATTAGAGGAAACTTACAAACATCAGATTTTTCATTTTCTTCACAATAGGGTATAGCTAATAAGCTAGGTGAAGCACCGTAAGTATTCTTTTTATCCGAATTTTACGGATAAGAAAACTGATACCTAGAGGACAGGTGATATTTCCAAGGTCACTGAGCTAGTGATGAATACATCTTTGTCGTAATTTTTAATGGCTTTGTAGTAAATCATTGTATAGTTATTCTAAAATTTGACAGATTTGCTATTGATCATTTAAATTATTGCTAATACTTTACCATTTTTACTATTTTACTGTTATAAACAATGTTATGATAAAGAGCTTTTAATCTGTATCTTAATGGATGTTTCCAATTATCAAGATAATTTCTCCCAAATCAATTTTAGTATTAAAAAAATACTTTATTTTTTCAAAATGAAATTTTTTCTCTTGATTACAAAGACAGTATACATTTATTTAGAAAACTTCAGCAGTACTAATAATTATAAAAAGTAAGTAAAAATGATCAAATATCCAGCCACCCAGAGGCAACTCCCATTTGTGTTTTGGTGACAGCTTTTGCAGCTCTCCCTTTGTGTAACTATTCATAGTACACATATTATTTTTAATCTGTTTCTTTCCCCTTCCACAGTATATTATGGAAGTCATTCCATGTCAGTGAAAAGTTGCATGGGTGTAATACTGTATTATTTGGGTAAAATAATATATGAATTTCTTATGAATGGATATTTAGATTGTTTACAGTTTTCACTATTATTATCATAATTATCATAAAACACATCCTTGCAGTTTTGTCCAGTTTTCTCCTTAAATTTGTCTTAGTTTGTCCAGTTTTCTCTTTAAAATAAATTCCTAAGTAATGAATCTCTAATATGTGTCTCACTTTCCAAAGGCCATTGAGGGAACTAGATTGTATGACTTGCATTTAACTGCCTACTTTTTAAGTCCATTTTTTGTGGTTTCTATTAGATGTTGTGTCTCCCTAACAAATGAGTTGTTGTTTTACATTCCGTAAGTCTGGTAGGTTTGCCCTTCCCTGTAGTAGTTCTTCACCTACTTATATGTTATAGAAATCCCTGGAGGTTTGGCATGTGTGGTGTCACTGATACCATTCCCAAGGTTATAGTATTAATAAAGGTTTCTTTTATATTCTCTTGGCCATCTCAGTGATTGCTGGGAAATAGAGATTCATCTGTACTCATTACCATCTTATGAAACTTAATTTCATTCTATAGTGTCATAATTTCTAAATTGGAGGACAATCAAAATCACTGAAAAGTATACATAGGAAATTGTGTCTTAATCCCTTATTTCTGATATATGAAATTAAATCTAATACAAAGTATCAATATATAATGCACCATGGGCCATCAGCTTATGATTTGGTAAGGTAACATGTAATTAGCTTGTTGGTTTTCATATAGATGGAGTATTTTGGAGTGTAAAAGTTTGATATCTTGTTGTTGTTTAGTCACTAAGTCGTGTCCAAGTCTTTGTGATCCCATAGACTACAGCACACCAGGCTTCCTTGTCCTTCACTATCTCCTGGAGTTTGCTCAAACTCATGTCCATCAAGTCAGTGATGCCATCCAACCATCTCATCCTCTGTTGCCCCCTTCTCCTCCTGCCCTCAGTCATTCTCAGCATCAGGGTCTTTTCCAGTGAGTTGACTCTTTGCATCTTACACCTGTATAAATCGTCTTAAGACTATGCAGGGATATCCCTGGTGGTCCAGTGGTTAAAACTTTGCCTTCTGGTGCAGGGGGCTTGGGTTTGATCCCTGATTAGGAAACTAAGATCCCACATACTATGTGGTGCAGCCAAAGATGGGGGGAACGACAGGCAAAAAAGACTGTGCAGAAGTAGATGTTGAATTATGGGGAGTAGATGCATCTTTCTAAAATCTGGGTTTAGGTTTGTGTAGAAAATATATATTTCAATTATTTACAATTCAATTATCCATTTTTGATTGTTTAGGCTTCTAGCTAGTGACTCTCATTTTTCTATCTCAATTCTTATTTACAGTAAGAGGTGAACTGGATCCAAATTAATGGTATCAGACTTTTAAAATTAATATAAATGTTGTATTTGAATTGGTGACTTAAAAAAAAATTCTATCTAGCTAATTTAGTATGTAACAAATGTTGGTCTTCATTAGGAATGTTTCATTTGACTGGAATATTACTGGTTATTTAATAAACCTTTACTGCTGGGTTGTTTTAAGAGTATTCTAAGTTAATGAGCCACTTATTTACTATCATCTTTCAAAATTATGATAGATATGTATTCACTATCATCTTTTAAAATTATGATAGATATGTTAGAAGTGATGTATAATTAATCATCTTTTATTCAAATAATAATTACCTGCCCCTCCCCAGTTTAGCAATTATTTACTAGTTTAATAATTATAAACTAGAGAAATGATGTCTTTTTTTTTCACTTTTTATTTTCATCAAAGTTTTCTGTTCTGTTGTGTTTTTTTCTTTGTAAACCTAACTACACAATAAGTACTCAGTGTGGCTCGTGATGCTGACAGAATCTCCCAGAGAGACAATAAACCAGATAAAAGATTATGGCATTACTTCAGAATGGAGATTTTTCTAAAGTAGAATTTCAGAAGAAGAAAACTTCTGTCTATACTTTATTATTTAAACTCTAATATTATATATTAGGAAGAGATTTTAGTTCTGTATTCCTTGTACCCCAATAAAGATTTGATATGTTTGTGGTAAAGTAAGCTTTTCTGGGTTGTGACCTGATTTTACTTATGTTTAATAAAAATAAGTAAACTTGGAGAAGCAAGAGTATCTGGTTAAGCAATTACACTTTCTTTAAAAACACATACACACAAACCAACTCACAAAAACTTTCACATATTTTAGTTCCATTTTTCTACTTTGGACTCAATCTGTGTATAAAGTGCCCAGAGGCCAAGCATAAGATTATATAGTGATGCAAGTTCTGTATTGAGCAAGTTCAAGAATATTTATAGTTTTTAAATTGTTTCAAAATTTAGTGACTGGGAAGGCCCATTGAAAATACATAACCTTAATGAAAAGGTTTTTCACTTACTAATAGGAATTTTAAATAATTTTAAGTAATGACAAATAACAAAAGATACCAGGCATCTTTATAATTGGAGGAAGCCTTCCATTTCTAGTAGGCAACAAGAGAATTTGGTGAAAGAGAATATGGTTGATGGCTGCCTGCTATGTTGTTGGTCATCTTTATTGTTTTCTTTGAAAGTAATTCAAAGTCATCTTGCTTCTCTTCCCTGCCTTAATTATTACATTATAAACATTGAATTGTCCATAACCCAGACTGCCTTCACCCCCAGAGAAAACTTATAGCTGCAGTAACTGACAAAATTTTTGACTATGGAAAATCTTTTTACATTATAATTTGATGCTTCCATCCGCTGTAAAAATAGCTAATCAGTAAGTATTTGTTGAGTTCTTACTGTGTACAAAGTACATATTCTATATAAGTTATAACAGAAATATTACCAGGACTGGAATTTGTTTGGTAATGATAATTTAGATCCAGATTGTGAGTTAGATTCTGATTCAGATTTAATATGCTCTAAATATTTTCAGAATATATGGTTATCAGCTTTTCATCTGGAAAATGTCTTAATTCTTTACTTATCAAAAATCGGCACTTCACGTTATTAAAAAAATTAGTACAAAGTTAAGAATTGATCTTGGTCATTCTAAACAAAGGAAGTTTACATGAAATTTTTAAACCCACATGTTTTATTAATAGGTAGACAGATAACAGGATTTTTAAGAGCTGAGGCATCCAATTACTGGGTTCAAACCCTGGCTCTGATACTTCCTAGTGAGGATTAAATAGTATAATTCTAAATTACTTAGTTCAGAACCCAACAGCTAACTGCTTAACTGATGTTATAGGCATTTATGACCTATAAAAGGAGTAGGTTAATGACTGTTTTTTCTTAGCATTCCCAAAAAACTGCCAATTCATTATTTGAATTCTCCAGAGAATGTGCATTAGCTCAGCTTGTTTTATTCATTCTGCACAACAGTCCTTAAATTGGTAGAGTGGATTGTTAACTCATCTTTTGTTTCTCTGGTATTTGGGTATTTAGGGTATTTGGATTTCACGTCATTTTCAATCCTATCTGACATTTCAGATGGCAGCAGAGGGAAAACGCAGTATCTCTGTTTATGGACGAGGCGTGGGGCTTGGCCGTGTCACTCAAGTAACTTAATCCTGGTAACCACAGTGCAAGGCCGGGTTCATCCTCATTTCTACACATAGGAGAGCCAAGCCTGAGGAGGGGAGTATGCATCTTGTTCAGCATTTCTTGACTGATTAGAGGAAGACTCAGAATCTAGCGCTCCAGGACACCATGCTTCTTTTTATCCCTGTTCTTTAACAATGGCCATGGCTTAGATTTTTTGAAAAAGGTCGAGTAGTTATTATATTCTATTTCTTTCCCCACACAAGAATCTCATTTAAATGCCACAGCCACTCAGTTGAGTGTATGTTAGACCAAAAAATTTAATATATTTGTAGAGTATTTGAAGCTAATACATGAGGATTTTATACCTAGTAAACCAAGAAATACCTTTAAATTCTGAACTTCCAGTGCTACTATCTCCAAAATGGAATTGAACGCAAAATCAAATCTCTTCTGAGTATATTTGTTTCTTATAAAGTTTAAAAGCGAAATGGATGGAGATTGTCTTTAAAACAATTTAAAATTGTTAAATATTTGTACTTATTCCCATCAGATACCAGATAAATGAGGCATTGTTATATTTAAAAATTATTTTTTGTTTTCTCTGGTTTTATCAGATTTAAAAATTAGTATCTGTGAGACATATATTCATTATTAAAAGTCACAGGTGCCACAGATAATACTTTAATAAATTGATGCTGGAGATCATTAGGAAAATTAAATGAATCACAGCAAATAATAGTAGAGAAAGGGATGAAGCCAAGATTATGGATTTAATTATTGAAAGAGTGCATATTTTTAGGTTAATTGGTGTTGTTACTAAAGGTCTTACAGAGTCTTTTAGACAAACCAAAATAAAATATTAATTTATATGAATGTGAGTTACATACTTCAAGCATGGGAAAAATACTAGTATTTAACTGATAGAAAGTGGTTTGGGATTTAAAAGGTGGGTTCATTGTAGGGCAATGATACTGAAGATGATATGCTAGTAGGACTTTCATGTGATAGAGAAGAATGCTGGCTAAGGTAAAACTCATTTGCATGGTCCTGGCAGGGACCTTATATCATCACTTTGACAAGAAGTTCCAGCCTGGAGACTGTGGCCCTCTCCACAAATAGCTCTTCCTAAATCTGTGTTCTTAGTCACAGGAGAGTGGTAGATATACATGGCTCAGGGCAGAGTTACAACCAACTCTGAACCAACCAACTCTGAGTTACAACCAACCAGAGAAACGTACCCAGATGAGTAGATTCATCTGTTCATGTATTCTCACACCAGACAGTAGCATCTACTTTAAGGACATCTGGAAAAACACATCATTTAAAATGAAATTCAGAGGAAAATATAAATGATCATTTAAAACCAGATGAAGTTTGAAAGTAAGTAGGTTTTGAAAGATCAATTCTATCAGTCATGCAAATGTAAATCTATGGTAAGCATGATAAACAAAACATATTAAAAAGTAGTTTGTGTGAAATTTAGAATTGCCTGGGTTTTATCTTTGTTTTTTATGAGTCAGTAATCCTAATGGTTGTGAGTTGTTCTAAGTGTTTCTAGGTTTTCTGATCTGCAGATAAGTCAGTTTTCCCTTGAGATCTCTCATATCACATACCTCTCCAAAAATTATATTGCAACACATTTTTTAAAGTTTGTGTTATTAAAATTTATCTAAAAAATAATCTTAGTTTGCCCCTTAATTGCTTGGTTTATAGTAGGGGCTCTCAATACATAATTTTGAATGAATAGAGCCATTCAAATGGAGACTCTTAAAAATGATAGAAATGGTGTAGTTTTTTAGAAATACTTTAAAAAATAACTTTAGATGGTGCATTTGAGGAATGATAGGGTTGCAGATTGTAATTACAACTTATTTCACATGTGCCTATTTAAAAATATGAACTGAAAGATTATCAATTATAAATCATTGATTGGTCACTTGTCCTATGTGCCAGACCTATGGTTTAGGTATGACTGTAAGTACCACATAGGACATTACCTCATTTGGTCATTACAGTAACCCTGTGAGGTGCGTTTTACAGTGATCCTCATTTTGCAGATAAGAAACCAAGGCACAGAAAGGTTAGGCGACTTGCCTAGGGTCATAGTTTTGTTAACTTTTTTTTTTAAGTATAGTTGATTTACAATGTTGTGTTACTTCCAGGTGTATAGCAAAGTTATTCAGAATATATATACACACACACATATATACACATAGAGAATACTATACTCTACTACTTATAACATGCTTTCAAACTCTATATATTAGTACATTTTCCTTTCCTAAAATGTAAAGCAGAGTTTTATAGCAGTGCCTGATCAGAAGAATGTAGTGTGGTCTTGGGGTGGAAATAAGCTTATGTAATTTTGAAGTGTCTTTCAAGCAGCAATAATAGTGATTTTTCTAACAGAAAAACACATACCTGTATTATTTTTAAAGTTTTTTAAAGCTTATTAGGGTGAAATTGTTTTCTTTCTAAGAGAAAAATAACCTATTGCTAGTACCATGTACTAAGATCCTATGTATCAGGCCTTTGTTAATGCTGATTATTTTAAGCGAACACTGACTTTTCAAGTGCTGAGACACATAAGGAATTATTTGATTTTGAGCAAAGATAATAGTAGTACTCTAAAGCAAGGTACTTTCTTCACATGATGTAGCTACTCATTTTTTTAGTTTTTCTTTTTGACAGAAACTATAGTAATTTTACCCAATTGCACTATATTATCTTTTGTTATGCGATAGAAAGTTTTCTTTTATTTAGTGATTTAAAAAAATTTTTACATTTATAAAAAATTGGATAAAAAGATGGTCTTTTGGTGATAAACACTTGTGACATTTACATGAATGTCTTTGAGTTTTCTATTTTCCTTAAACAAAACAAGATAATTATATAGCTCCATCTCAGATGACCATCATTTGGAGACATGTTTATAGCAACAGAGTTGAACTGTCTGTTCAATAGATACCGTGTGTGTGTGTTTAATCCTGTTTGTAGTATGAGGAAGGGTAAACAGAAACATCTCCATATGTGAGATGATACTTTTAAATGGAAAACTTCAAAGTCTATTTATGGAAATACGTGACAAATCTAGGCTTGTTTGACAATTCAGTATGATCTGTTGCCACAGGATAGTTTTTAAATTGTTTTAAAGCAGTTACAAGAAGGTTAGTAGCAAACCGTTTGAGGAAAGGTTGTTTGTTGGCAGCCTCCCGCCCCTCCCCGACCTCAACTCCCTCCAATAGTCTCTGTGCCATCCCCTATTCTCGGTTTATAAAAATCAGGAAAGTTTGCCCTTATGTAAAGAAAATTGCTTGTTAAAAATGACTGTGTAACAGATAAGGATTACTTACTTAAGGACAATCAAGCAGGAGAGTGTGACCTGTCACTAGCAAACAGTGTCTAGTCCAACATTCTGATTTGTTGATGGCATGGATTCCTTGAGATGTTGAATAGCAAGTGTTTCAAACTTTAACCCCTCTTTAGGCAAAACTTTTAAACTTTTTAATATTTACTTCATTTCTGGCATTCCACTGGAGGTGAGGTATGGCAGCTATTTGAAGAATGTGTGTGTAAATGTATCTTTGTGTTTGGAAACAAAGAGCCACACTGAAATTACAAAGTGATTAAAATAGAATTTAGTAACCCAAATTGGAATCTGGCTGGATTCATGAGGGATTATGATTCTCCCTACACTTTGACAATGCGCTCTTTACCAAAGTGCACGTGCTCACAATTGGCTGATGATGCATAAGCTCACAGCGATGAGAAACACAGGAAAATCGAGTGTTAGTCCAAATGTTTACATAGAGTGTTAAATAAAAACTACTAAGGTAAGAAGTTCAATACTTTACATAGGTAGTAAACTATGCATATTATTTTATTTGTAACCCCATGTGTTGAGATGGGACACTGTTAAAGTAACAATCACTTAAAAAGCAACAACCAACAAACGAGTATTCAATTTGGTACGTAAACTGAATAATTAAAATCAAATGGAAGCAATGCCTAAAGTAACTAAGATAGTTCACAATAAAAACCATTAGTTCAGGCTCTACTTATTGGAAATATGATAATTCAACATAGGCTAACCTAAAATGTACCTTTAGAGATTGAATAAGGATATAAGCAAAATATTAAATAAGATGTCGGGAAGTCCCTAAAACTATGTTTAAGGACTTCAAACTGATTACTTACATGCAAAAAAACTTAACTAAGTTTGAGTTCATTTATACATGATCTTATTTGAAGCACTGTATTTTCATTCACTAGCAAAATTCATGTCAGTAAGATATTTTTGAAGTATTTTATTTTTCAGATATTTCACTGTGTTGTTCCAGTGATTAGCCTGAATTTCTGTGGAAACCTAAGTTTTAAATGAAGACATGCTTCTGAAAATAAGGCAACTTTTCTATCATCTGTTTATAAACAGAAAAAAAGAAATCTTTGGTTTTAGTTAAAGTGGCTGAAAGGGTTTTGCAAACAAAAAAAAAGAGAGAGAGAGATACTAAAGAACCAAAGCAATGAAAAGGCTCTTCATAAGCAATGGGGAACTCCAAACCCCATCAAGGTCAGCAGAGTACCTAAGGCACCTCAGGTTCCGATGATACAATCATCTTTGCTTAGAGTTCTAGTAATCTATATACAGGATTTTTACCATCTTAAGAACATGAAGCCGAAAAGGTAATGTCCAACAGTGATTACTGTAAGAAAGAAGAAAATCATAGCAGTTGATAGGAAGAGATATTAGAATCCATATTTAAAAGATGAGAAAAATGAGGCCCAGTCAAGAAACAGATGACACTAGAGTTTGTGTTTCTAGATTCCTAGTCCATTTCTCTTAGGGCAGGGCAAATTCTAGATTTTAACTTTATTGGCTAGGAAACCAAGTGTGAAGAGTTTCAGATATGTGAACTGAGGAAGAAAAAATTTCCCATCAAATCCCCAAAGGCAAGCTGGAAATAAATATATAATACTTACTGTCTTAATTCCTTTATATCATGTGTTGGACAACTTGGCTAATATACTAATTGAGTTATACAATTCTTTCAGTTCTATCTAAAAATAGCAGACCAAAATTAAATGAGAAAGTTACATCAGATTCCATTTGAGCATACATAAGGCCATGATACTTAACACGAACCACTGCTTCTTGGGAAAAAGAAGATATCCACTGTCCAGTTCAGGAGAGAAAACTCCTGACCAGTTATCCAGTAGATTCTCCACTCTTAAATGGGGAAGATGATGCTTATATTTTTAAAAAAACCTCTACAAAGCTCACATACAAGACAATACATCCTAGATTTGTGACTGCTATGAGCATTTAAGGCTGTCATTTTCAAGTATAAAAGTTTAGTGTTCCATTACCCAATCTGTGCAATAGACATAGCTATAAGCTCAAATCATGGAAATTAACAGAAGCTCACCAAAGACATAAATCATAATTTAGGCAACAGCAAGTTTAAATGTAGGAAAGGCTGGGGGGAAAAATTATGTGTTAGATTATGCTTCTCTGAACTGCATCAGTTGTTCACACTGAATCTTTGCCTAACACACTGTCTGTTGCATGGCATTTGGACTAAGGTAGATCAACAGCAGACCAAACAAGGAAGCTTAATTAGGTAACAGAACTATCATTAAGATGGTTCACCTCTAACACAGTTATACGGCCTGTTTCCCTAGAGAAAAATTAGAAATGGCTCCAGTATACCAAATGAGCTTCACAGATAAACATGAAAAAAATTTTTTTTAAAAGCAGGACCTTTCACCTTAGGACCACCATGCACTGCTCACGGATGATCAATAAATCAATATTATTTACTTCTGGCTAGAGGTAATATTGTGAAATGTAACATGACTGGAGAAAAATGGGTATTTGGAAGCCAGCACGTCATTTAACTTATACTGTAGGTAGATGTGTACGTTAAGTTGTAGTTCTGTAACTTCTACTGTGGTTTCAACATCTATGTCTGAAAGGTGACATCAGTTTTATTATGAAAGCAGCTGCTTTGTTATAAATTCCATGTAACATGCTTGAATTCTAGGTCATTTGTCTTTACATGATTTAAAGTTTCTTGTGGTTTGGTCAGCATACACACTTTTTGTCTCATTTGATATACAAGCCAATGTGGAAATTAAAAACCTACCAACTAGTTCAGAGAGCTGAGTTGAGTCCAGGATTATGACAAAGTCTGACCCAAAGTTTTTAATCTGTAATCTCAGCATGTATCTCATGCAGTCTGGGGAGCATCAAACTAAATCTACAATCGCCAGAAGCCTTGTTACAGTTGAACGCACATTAACTAAAAGGTGTACATTTTTAGTGTTCATGATAAATGCAGTTATGACCTTATTACACTTTTGGCATTCTTTAAGAAAGCACGTTAAGCTTTAATATAGAAATATTTAGGTTACACTTGTGCTCAAGTAATAATAAAACATTTGTTCTTTTTGATCTCATACATTCTCTCCTCAGGAATGGCCCATCTCCTGCACGCTTGGAGCAACCTTTGGCTACGTGGCTGGCCTTGTTATTTCACCACTCTGGATATACTGGAATAGAAAGAAACTCACATACAAGAACAATTAATTGGAGCAAAGGGAGAAGAGATTTCTTTGTGCAGATTCCATAAAGACTGTGCAGAGATGTATATGGTCTAAGCCAGGCAGTTCCACTTAACAGCACTGTTTTTTACTGTTACATGATGTGATTGTAGCTTTTTAAACTATGAAACCCCTGAGAGATTGTACCTTCTAGTTGAAATAAAGTATTTATAATAGATTGTGGCTTCAGATGCTGTTTGCTGCTTCTTGGACCTTTAAGAAACATTCTTAATGAACTTTTATAGAATTCTGAGGACAGGGTTGGTTTTTTTTTCCTTTCAAGTTTTAAACTGCTTCATTATAAGAAGTCTGGGTACAGCTGTAGCATTTCATATGCTTTCTGAGAGAAATGTACAGTTTCCTTGGCCACTGAGGATGTTTCTCACGTAATCAAACAACAGTTTATACATCTTGATCCTATTCTTTTTTTTACTGTGTGTTTCTTTGGAGTTAAAATGGCTATGATAGCCTCATCAAAAACAGTCTTCAATCCCTTCTGTGTTAAAGCTGAACATTCCACATAGCAGCACGCACCTATCTGGGAGGGAGAAAAAAAAAAATCACAAATATATAAAATCTTTTTTTTATAACTGGTACCACACAAACATACCATTATAAGGAAAATCACAAAATGCAAAAAGAATGAAATCATATTTATGATTCCCAAGAGATAGCTAACTGTTAAAATATTAGTATATATCCTTTCAGACTTTCTCTGAAAAATTCTTTCAATCATCAAATGTTTACTGGATACCTATTATATGCCTCTGAAAAGGCAAAGCACCCCACTCCAGTACTCTTGCCTGGAAAATCCCATGGATGGAGGAGCCTGGTAGGCTGCAGTCCATGGGGTCTCTAAGAGTCGGACATGACTGACAACTTCACTTTCACTTTTCACTTTCATGCATTGGAGAAGGAAATGGCAACCCGCTCCAGTGTGCTTGCCTGGAGAATCCCAGGAACGGAGGAGCCTGGTAGGCTACTGTCCATGGGGTCGCGCAGAGTCAGACACAACTGAAGTGACTTAGCAGCAGCAGCATTATATGCCTGGCACTGTTTTTAGGTGCTGGGAATCACGCCTATGAACTGAGCAAAAGAGCAAAACCCCTGCTGTGTGATGCTTACATTTGCTTAAGTTCCACTGGGGGAGGAACACAGGAATATAGGAGAGATGGTGGCACATGCTATGGGTTAAAAAAAAAGGGAGGGAGAGGGTGCAGATGACAGTGGTGGTGATGGTCAGTGAAAGCTGCTCAACAAGGTAAAGTCTGAGCAGTGAGGGATACCTGCTGGCAGGGTTTCCAGGCATACAGAGCCACAGACGTAAAGATCCCTGATGCAGGAACATGCTTGGAACATTCAGGGAGCAGGACAGAAGCCAGAGTGGCAGGGGAGAGGGTGAGCAGGGGCAGTGGCAAGAGATGAAGTCAGTGAGGTAGCCTCAAGATAGTGACTTCGAGTAAGGACTTTGGCTTCTACTCTGAGAGGGGCCCCATCCATCCATCCATCCATCCATCCATCCATCCATCCATCCATCTATACATTCATCGAAAACTTACAGAGCACTGATTTGCCAATCAGAGGAAGGAATTTGTTCCTTCCTACAACAAGAACAAAATTAAGTCCCTATGCAACTCTCAATGAAATGTATTTTAGAGGAAGAAGACCATGGATTAATAAATAGAGAGGTAGAAGTGGTTTGGAGAAAAATGGGGAAGGAGATAGGGAGTGGAGACAGCTCAGGCAAGATCGCATTGAGAGAGTGATATTGGAGCAGAGATCTAAAAGGAAGTGCTTTCCTAGTAGCTCAGCTGGTAAAGAATCTGCCTGCAATGTGGGAGACCTGAGTTTGATCCCTGGGTTGGGAAGATCCCCTGGAGAAGGGAACGGCTACCCACTCCCAGTATTGTGGCCTGAAGAATTCCACGGACTGTATAGTCCATGGGGATAGGGAGGGGGACAGGTCAGGCAAGATCTCATTGAGAGAGTGATATTGGATCAGATATCCAAAAGGAAAGGATGAACAATGTCTACATCAAGAAGACTCCCAGGCAGAGGAAGCAGTGAAAGGGCAAAGGCCTGGAGGCAGAAAACGGGAAGCAGCATGGAGGCCGTGTGTCTGGAGCACAATGAATGAGGCAGAGGTGGCTGGGCCTGGATGCCACAGTGGGGCTTTTATTTATTCAAAGTCAGCTGGGGAGTCACTGGAGGATTGTGCACAGAGCAGTGAGCTAATGGAGCTTCTATTTTTAAAGACTCAATGGCTGCTGTGTTGAGAACAGGTTGACAGACACAGACAGAAGCAGAAGGGTGAGTGAGAAGCTGTTCCAGTTAATCCAGGCAGAGAGGGAAGGAGCCTGGACCAGGCTGCCAAAGGAGGGGACAGTGAGGAACATAGGTATTCTGGATATATTCCAGAGGAAAAAAAAAAAAACGGGTTTTGCTGAAGGGTTCACTGTATGGTATGAGAGGAAGAACAAGGTCAAGTGTGACTTCAAGGTTTTTAACCTGAGTAACTGGGAAGACAAGCCTGGAGGATAAAATTGGGAATTCTGTATTTGAAGCGTTAATTTTGAGATGCTTATCACCAGGATGGACTTGTTGGAGGAAAAGTTGGACTACCAAGTCTAGAAATCCAGGCTGCAGATGGGAATTTGGGAAGCTCAGTAGTAGATTGTTCAAGCCACAAAACTGATAGAAGCTCAATAGTCCTAAAGGACTGAGTGTGGATATAGAAGGAAAGACATCCAAGAAGCTGAGGGCAGATCCCTGGACTCTCCAACATTCAGAGACAGGGAGACGAGGAGAAGGAGAAGAGGCCGAGAGAGCAGAAAGCCCAAGAGTGGGCGTTCAAGGAAGCCAAGTCAAAGTGTTTCAAGAAGGGACCAACTGTGCCAAATGCTGCTGACAGGTCTAAAAATGGGGTCATAGTGTTTTGCAACCATTTTTTCCCCTTAAACTATATAATAAGCATGAACATTGTAATAGGTATATTAGTATAAAATTTTAATAGGTGCAGGATTTTTTGGTTTTTGCTGTTACAAACAATGCAGCAACTTTATGGCCATCTCTTTAAAAGCACATCCTGTATAATTTTTTTAGGATACACTCCTACCTACAGAATTGCTTGATCAAAAGCGTTCATGACTTTAAGGCTTTTGCATGTTGTTGGGGCTGCTTTTACTCAATGACCAATAGAACAACAGAGTTCCTACTTCCTCGCCCCATTGTGTGTTAGTCGTTCAGTCGTGTCCGACTCTTTGCGACCCCACGGACTGTAGCCCACCAGGCTCCTGTCCGTCGAGTTCTCTAGGCAAGAATACTGGTGTGGCTTGCCATTTCCTTCTCCAGGCAATCTTCCCAACCCAGGAGTTCAGCCCAGGTCTCCCTCATTGCAGGCAGATTCTTTACCATCTGAGCCACCAGGGAAGCCCTGTCCTGCTGGGACAGTGTTTTTGCCAGTTTTATATGGAAATTGAACTTACAGTTGACCACTAAAGAGTATGAACGTGTTTCTTATCTTTGATGGCAATCTGCATTTTTTAAGGAATCTGAGTCCCTTTTCCTATTGGAGTGTATGAATATATATATATAGATAGATAGATAGAGAGAGAGAGAGAGAGAATTCCCAACTTATGTATACCTGTCTTTTTCTGATTAATCCATATGCAATGGGGCTCCTGAACACTAAGGATATTAACCCATTTTTCTGCCATAAATGTCAAGTTTGTTAAATGACTTTTAATTTTATTTCTGGCATTTTGATGTATTAAGTTTTTATGTAGTTAAATCATCAGTGTTTTCATTTATGACTTTTACCTTTATGACATTTAGAAATTCCTTCTCTCCCAAGATGACAGAATTTAGTACTTGGAATTTCTAAAGTGACTTGTTAGTGAAACTATTTCTCTTTTGCTTTAGGAAACACTATCCTCCAAAAAGTTGCTTTTCTGCCTCTTGATAGTGTTTTTAAAAAGACCTTGTTAGATTCCATTTCCACAAAAGTCCTATTAAAGTCATAACATCTAAAAATAGAATCCAATAACGTTAGGGCCAAATGGAGAAAAAAGTATGCCTTTCTTTGGGGATAGGAAGACTAAGTTAGGAGGCATTTTGTGCATCAGAGTTATATTTTTAGAATGATAATATTTTCTACCTTTCATAAAAAGATTGCAACACATTTCCTCTCCTACCTAGCCATAATTTTTTGTTTTTTAACTGCAGGTTTAAATTGCCCTCCAATTGCACTCCACTGCCAACTCCATGAGTCTTCACTGAAGACAGGACCTGATTAAGAAGCCCTCTTTTCTGACACCTCTTTCTATACATGACTTATTAGGAGAATATTGTAGGCAGTGTAGCACAGGTTTGAAGGCTGGAGTCAGGTCTTTACTGAACTCAACTCTGCCATTTATTACCTGCAGGACCTTACAAGCTACCTGACAAGTTATCTGACATTGCCATGCCTCTGTTTTCTCCTTCAGAGCAACTGGTCAATTGACCTCACCAAGCTGATGCAACAATTAAATGATCGAATGCATGTAACACACTCAGCACAGAGCCTGGCATATGGTAAGTGCACAATAAATATTTGCTTCTATTACTACCTTAGCTTCATTTATATTTATTTTTAAATTCCGTAAAGGTTGCATTACCTCTTTTGCTAGTTTCTGTCCTTGCTCCACACATATAGGTTTTTCCTTCATATCATTCAGTCTTGCTAAAGTTTTGGGGTCATCTCGGAGATCAATCTAGTTAAGAAAAGTTGATAACATCCCATAATAGCGTCAGTCTTTAAAGATAAAACATGTAGTACCATTTAACCCCCACATATAAAAAAAAGATTACAAAGGAACTTGATTTTTAAAATGGACTAATATACTGACTGCTTTCTTTTGACACTACCTTTCCCAAAAGTGTGACAGAATCTATTATAACTAACAACTGAGATTAAACATGTATCTCATTTGCTAAACCTTGGGGCCATCATCTAAGAGCAACATCACGAGGCAGGCCAGAAAGGTTATTCTTAAACAGGTAAAATCAAAGCATACATACCTGAGTTCCTATTAATAAAAAGGGTACATTTGGCGCATATTCTTTAAGTTCTGGTACCCACTCCTCTTTCACGTTTTGAAATGAGGCTGGATTCACCACAGAGAAGCATATAAGGAAGAC